GGCTATTCACTCGCGAATTCCGAAAGTGCATTTACATAGCCAAGTAGTGCCCGAACAGCTTACGTCTCTAAATACAAAGTCTCCTCTCAGCAGCGCGTTATTGTCAGTAGTACTGTCTGGTCGGAGTGATTAACTCCCTTTTCATTATCGCCGTTTCTCTGACCTTCGTCGTATCTCGATGTAGTCTCTTTCTCCTTTACGTTTTCGCGCGCATTCCTCGCGCATTTTAAAGCGATTCCCGTCACCTTGTGCCTCCACTATCTCCCTGTCAAGGCGCGAGTTAATAATGTCCTCGCAATTAATAATTGCGGAATTAATACCGAGACGTGAGACTAAAGATAAATGGGACATTTTTCGAAATTTCTTTGCTTTTCTCCTCGGTTGAACGTTCTTCATGTCATCTTTTTTTTTATATTACAGTCTATATTTTTTTATCCCTTGCACATATAAGAAATGAATTTCTTAATTGGACGTAGCTATGCCATATAAAAACAAGTTAAAAACTTAGCTCTCTGCAGCTTTTTTTTTCTACAAAAATATTCTATATAAAATGCTGTTGCAACAAAAATATCATAAAATTACAATTTAACTGTATATTTTAAAATTTTTTGTGATGCAGAACAATGATACTATAAGTGACAATTGATTCCATACTATAGGATTAATCGAACACTATCACTTTTTACTGACATTATTATTAACATATTAGCATGTTGAAATTTTTGCCTTTTTCTGTGATGAGTCTCAAATTTTCTCAAATAGTCTTCTTTGCATCATAATATTGTCATAATAGAAATAACTGATTCTTTCAATATTAAAACGGCTCTATATAAAATGTTTTTTAGAAAACCTGCTTCAAGATATTAGTTTCACTCGTTACGAACATAACAGTGCACATAGCATCGTAACTCCTCGGCAATTCATCGCGATTACAATCGACCGCTGATCGTTGCGCACTTCGATTTGGTAGCCGCGACGAATTGACGACCTACCCTATTTTTGAATCAATTGATCGCTATGTGGGAACATAGATTTCATGAAAAGCCATTCGCGGCATAGGTCATTCGATGAAATCAAATGTCGAACTCACCAGATTCGTTTTATTCCGAGCATATTCGTGTGACTGTGCTTCAGAGAGAGAGAGAGAGAGAAAGAGAGAGAGAGGGGGGAGGGAGGGGGGAGAGAGAGAAAGAGAAGCAGAATGCGTCCATAAAAAACTGCAATCCGAGAAGATTGAATGATCGCACCGGAATAGATTAATTCCCCCCGGGGATCGATTTTGCGGAACGCGGAGGCATTTTATTACGGTTTAGTCCTTGGCCTGAGAGAGATAATGAGTTGACCTAATAACCCGAAAAACTGTGAGCGGCATTATATTTGTTCGATGAGCGAGCACTCTATAATCCATCGTTTCCAATTTTAATTAATTTTTATCGCGCCACAACATCAATGCAAAAAAAAAGAGAGATTAGATCTATTATCCATTATTTACATACACGTTGATACATATAATATATCGATCCGGCATATAAATTTGCGCTTCGTCGGATTATTATTGTGCTACGTGTTGTTCTGATCCAGCGAAGAGAAATGCGATACAATCGGTAAAAAGGGCCAGCATTCTGTGACGCGGGCAAAGTGCACTTGCGGCGGACCCTTTCGACCCAATATTGATGTTGCAGGGATAGAAAGTGCACGCTTATCGCAAGTGCAATTAATTGCAGCATCGGCGAATGAGCGAAAAGGTTGGACGATTGCGCGAGGCGTCGTCGTGACGCGTGGAAACTCGTAATTCGCAAGATATTTTGCACAAGACGAAACTTGGTAGAGTTCGATGGTGACACCTGCTACTGCACTGTAATCAACCTGCCAAGTTAACTAGGTTTCTCGTTCTCTCGGCCGTACAGCAAACCGGGCCGTCGTCAGAGCTGTACGCCATACCTCCTGCAACGGCAAACCGCAGCAGCACAGCCGACGTATATTGTCTCAATCTCCGGGGTTATCCGGGGCACCCCGTCTAAATTCATGCCCGATCGACCAATGGAAACGCCGACGTATGTACGTCTCTCTACGTATGACGGAAGTTGGCGCGATTGCCACGATGGAAGCTGACGCTACTTCCCAAGTTATGTTCAGTAATCGAGATTTCGGTGAGGGACATTAGAAAGTCATGAGTCAGGTAAAATCTCCCGTTGCTATAATATTGTTACAGAAATTTAATGAGCAGACTAATTTATTAATTATGAGATTTGAAAATGTGTGTGTGTGGTAGGGATAATGTAAAGTATTGATGGTGATTTCTTTGACAACATGCCTGCTTGTGGAAGTTATTGAGCTAAATTATGGTAAATTAGAGTTGATAGAGTAATTAAAGCTTTTCCTAATTTAATTAATATATAAAGAGATATTTTGAGAACTTAAAATAATATAATTATTTATGTGTTTGATATAAAGTTAAAAAAAAAACATTACTTTTTATTTGATATGCGTTAGATAATGTTAGCACAACCGCCATATAAATGCCATGTAATAATATTTCAAAAAACAATACAAACGAAAAAATATTTATACGTTTGGTAAAAGAGATGACAAAATGATCTTATTATACAATAACATATCGTGGGAAAGCAATTTTCTCTCATAAAAAATCCCTAGTAGAAATGTATGTAATTTTTTTAGACATTTAATCAGTTATTGTCTAGTATTACCGTATTCTTTGTATATCTTCCTTATGCGTTTCAATCATGTGAATAATAAACTTTTGATTGGTCAAATATTTATTCTAATTAAAACGGTTATTAAAGAGTTTCATTCTATTTGTTATAGGATATCTTGATTCTAATTAGGGATGATTATTTCTTTATCATTGATCATAAAATAAAAACGTACGTAAATAAAAACGCAAAGAACAAAAAGAAAGATTAGAAAAGATGCAATATACTAATGTGAGAGAATGTTCTCAAGGAATATCTTGCTGAGTAAACACGCGTTCGACTTTCTTCACACACGTTATCAATTATGCGCTCTGCTTTATCTTTTGAAGTATATATCCTATCACGCATATAACTATCACGTGTCGTGAATAATATCTGCCTTTAAGCTTACTAATTACGATATAGCGATACAACGCCCGCATAATGAAACATGCATTACAGAACGTGTAACGTTAATTACGCGATGCCAACAAGCACAGAAACGTAATACAATCTCGTGCTCTACACGTGTTGTGTATTCTAGTCGAGACGATATATTTAAACATAAATAATATGTAAATAAATAACACGTTGCACATTTCCGCGAGTTACTGGACACATATCGGAGAAACGTTTTATTAGCGTTACAACGATACGGCTATCGAGAAGTTTAGAGAAAATTTAATTATTAAAAACTTCGTTGTAAAAGATAAAATTTTACTGATATTAAATTTTATTCAAGCTATTTTTATTAACACTTGAATTATTTATATGTATACTATCGTATGTACTATTTAAATATTAATTATATGTAAAATATGACGCAATAATAAAATACTCATACTCTTTAAAACAACAAAGATGCATAATACTTAAATGTTCGTCAGCAATAGTAGCAGAAAGGCAACAACAGCAAGAGCAACAAGTGCGCCAGTCGTAATTACCCTCCATTTCGCTTCACGAACTGTTACCTCGCAACAAATAGACATTTCATGGAAACGGCCAAATAGATTATCAAATTTATAATAATATCTATTTCAAAAAGATATATTGCATGAATTCTTTAAATTGTTCACCTCATCACGAACTGCAGTCAAGTATGCATGTCACATCGATATCACGAAGGTTTCCTTGCCATAAACATACTTCTGAATAATCACTACAGCCATATTGAATTGTAATGTCAGAAGCGAGAAATAACACATTAATTTTTATTACGTGTCATTTGTAAATAAAAACAATTTGGATAAAACAAAATGATGAGAAATGCTTTAAAACATTTGTAAAAATAAACGAAACTATGCTTATCTCCCCTAATAATCAGTAAATAATTGTAAAAAGTGATAAAGATATGTATAAGTGAAAATAAGCTATACATGCGCATTAAATAAAAGCACTTCACTGCTTTTTATTACTTTTTACGATTATTTATTGACTATAAGGATAAATAAATATAGCTTTCGTCCATTTTTACAATTATTTTAAAGCGATCTCATCATTTCGTTTTGTTTAAATTGTCTTTATTTACAAATGCCACTTAATAAAATTAACGTGTCACAATTTAATATAACTGTGGTGATTACTCAGGAGCTTTAATAGGTCATATGAAAACTATATTTTACAAAACATTATTCTATAAGAAAGACATTTATATAATTTATGAATACAATGAGTCATTGATGGATACATGGAAGTTTATGTATACAATTATAAAAATAAGGAAAGCATGGCATTACGATAGATAAACAATCCAATTCTTTTGTTACAACACTGTGATTGATAAAATTTCAAGCGATCAAGTGATTAAAGAAACAGAAAAAAGACAATAAAATTTAATTGTTTATGTTCTCTCGAAATTTTTTTATCTTAATTATAATTATGAATTCATATTCACATGCAAGTAATTACTACGACGACTAAATTAAATTGACGAAGAAGTCGACGAAGAGGGAGAGTTTAGCTAACACGACGAAGGCAAAAGCAGTGCCAGACACAAGTGAGAGTGCAAAAGTGGTGCGACAACGAAGGGAAACGCATAGGCAGAGAAAGGAAGATAGCCCTCAGCAACCCCATCGATGGCAACTATCTCTCAGTAGTGGATGCACCTCCACGAGCAGCAAGAGCAGCAGTAACAGCAGTACCACTAGCATCATCATCAGCAGCAGCAGCAGCAGCAGCAGCAGCAGCGGCAGCAGCGGCAGCAGCAGCAGCGGCGGCGGCAACCTCCCCCCGAAAGCACAGAACGTGGCGCATGCCCATCCGGGAATCGAACCCGCGGAGGCACAACGTCACCGACGAACCAGCCGCCAGGTTTCTCAGTACGTTTGGCGAACAGTTCGCGAACGGACGTATACCTTCCTCGTAAGCTCTGGAGAACATTATATAATACTTATCGTATCCGAGCATAAACACGAGAGCGTGTTGGCATCAAAGAGACGTGGGTGGTCTCGGCGACCCGTGCCGCCGACCGGAGCACCACACACGAATGCAACGACCCTTCGATCCGCACGCGGGACGAATCACTCTTACTTCTCGTCCTCGACGTAGCCCACTTCCTCGTGCGTCGATCTTTCGGCACGAACGGCACGAACGCCACGGTGACGTGGCGAGAATATCTTCCAGCAGTTCGTCCAGACTGACGCGCAGCGGTGGTCCATGTATGCACTGACCCGGTCGTCGAGAGCTTACATCGCGACACACACCATCAAGGTCGCCCGCGATCAATGAACGTGGCGCTCACCGCCACGTGACCGGACGACAGCGCGGACGAAAAACCGGAGGCCGTCGATCTCGCGAACGTGCCACGGCTTGTATCCCGAGGAACAATCGGGAAATTCCGTTTCAGACCGTTTAGATGAAAATCATCCTTGCGAAAATTCTGAACTGTCGTAACCGCCGATAGTCTTCGTTATTTTTCAGACGAACGAACGAACTCTCGAGGAGTCTCGTTTCTTGACGTTCCTGAGAGATTCTCTTACATTTATACTTTGAAATTGAAAACCTCTTTGAAGAAGCAGTTGAAACCTCTCATGACAGACAGTTTCCTCTTCCTCTTGGCACGTGACAACGGCGAGTTCGATCAGGAGGTTAGAACGAAAGTCTCGTAATCTTCCCGGAGATTCTTCGAGCGACCGATCTCCTGTTCCTCGATCTCAAATTTACAGACACTGATTGTGCAATACGAAAAGAAAAAACGTTAACTTCACTCGCTCTCTGCTGTACGGACCCTTTGATATATTTTCCGACTGTTAAAGAGTTTGTACGAGGGAAGAGGAAGACGGAAAGGGAGAACGGCTGTGACGTGCAGTGCAATCTGTGTAAAGTAGACTCCGGGGACCGCGAGAAGGCAGTTAGAACGTGACATGACGAGAGAGTTATAGAGGCCGAAGAGTACGGACAAAAAAAGCAGTGGGAGACAGACTTTGGTTAGACTTCCGAAGTGGAAATTGCTGCGTCAACGTGAGACTGGTGAGTTTTTATCTACAATGTCTATCTAACTCTGTAGTTTGAACATTACCCATGTTACGTAAGAGATATTTTATAGAGCAAATAAAAGAATTACTAATGTTTGATCAGAAAAAAAAACGGTAAAATCTCCGTGAAGAATAACACGGCTCCATTGTTTATGATCATCTTCAAATGAGCAACAAGTGTGACTGGCATTGTATCAGACAATCTATTTGTGATATTGGACTATAAATGGCTCTTTGTTGAATATATCGTGTATTTTTATTAAAGAGAAAAATAATATAAGTTTCCAATATTTACCACTATTAATTTATACAACTATCGTCTACAATGAGACACTCATTATCAAAACAATCATTATCAAAAGTACAGTTTACATTTTGTGTGACTCTTCTTATAAGATATTTTTCAATTTTCTTACATATATTCATAAAATAATGTAGATATAATAAAATTGACAGAAGGTCAAACAAACCCAACTAATTAGACTAAAGATTAAAAGTAGTTATTTATTAATATACAATGCATGGAACGACTATAGTAAATATTCGTCAACCAAATAATTACAATAAAAATAAAATTAAGAGTTTAGAAACAAATCGAATGCATGAAAAGAATAAAGTAGATAATATATCTAACAAAGATAATATATTCTCTTACGAAAAATGGCAATGATTTAACTCGATTATCTAATTTAACAAGCAATCAGTTACACTTGCGAAAATAGCTAGTTAGATAACAGCTGATAATAGCTGGTTAAACGTACAGCAAACGTTTAGCGAATATTTAACACTCAGGAACTGTTACTTCGAACGCGCGCTTTAAAAGTACACGGTAGAATAAAGAAGAACAAAGAGAAATGAGAAGAGACGCAAGAAGAACGGAATGTGACAAAAAGGACCTGCCTTACGAGCATGAGTGACGTTAAGCTGACGTGAGTGGAAGGACTGCCCAAGTCGTGGGTGGTCTGTAAACGGAAGAAAGATAGAGAAAACACAGTTGACAAAGCAAAAGTACGGCAAAAGAATGGAGAATGTAGCAAAGTGTCGCGATCGGATAATCGAAAAACAAGAGAAAGAAAATTGGTCAATTGACACGACGGAGTTTGCAATCTCGTTCAATTAATATGCATGATGATGCGATTCGACGATTAAAGATTCAGAGAGCATGTTTACAGAAAATGTGTTATCTTGTCGAATCATGAATTTAGATGTTGATTTTTTATTCAACCGCGAACTCGATTGATTTATGCATGCGCTGATAAAGTCATCAACTACAAAGTTTGTATGCAGCTTTTATAACTCTCGCGTGCACAGTTTATACAACTCTTTAACAAGGTATAAATATTTTATGAAAAATGTAACATCGCATTCATCTCAATTACGTCACAGATTAATGCAGCTTAAAGGACGATATTGCGTTAAATAAAAATTTGCAAATTGATTGATTTATATTATTTGTTGATTTATATCATCTTGTAATATAAGAAATAAATGATAAAATTAAAATAAAATACATGCACACATTAATTTTTCCATAATGCTCGTACGAATTTTATCTACTATTTCAAGGAAAAATTTTGTCATTCCTAATAAAAAAATTTATATCCTGCAAAATTCCACTTCTTAGGAGCATATATATTGTTAATCGTATTACTGTTTGAATGAAAAAAAAAAACAAAAAAACAAAAAAAACAAAATAATTTGTAACAAAATTAATTAAATCTTTTGCGGCACCAGCAATTAATTTACTTGCGGTGCACAAACTTTTTCCCCGTGTTGTGCAGATGTATATATAATATATGTGTGTTCGCGCCAGAAAACTCGCCACAGTCGCACGCGACGTTAGTTTTTTGCGTAAACTTAGTTAAGTAAGTAACCAGAAAAAGAGAGGCGCACATAAATGAATGTTACGCAGGAACAAAAACTCGACCGGTCCTCTCTATTGAATTCTGTAAAACAGTACGTCACGCAACGGCTTGTTAGAGAACCGTACATCACGCAAATAAATTTCAACGGATACAAAAAAAGAGTTCGATCGTCACGATGATTACATGTCGCGAACGAAGTCGGGAGGGCGTACGTAATTCAGCGCACCGAAAGTTAGTCGTCATTAATTTTCTCGTTTCGCTTAATTAACGCCGCGTTGCGAAGCTTTCATTGAAGACTCGATATACGAGATTGGTACGCGTTATTTCAATAAGCATCAGTGTATAAACTTGCGATTTTACCGATAATGTATCGGTAATGTTTTGTTAACTCAGCTATTATTTGATTAATTACTAACTTATTAAAATAAATGTAAAAGAATAAATAAATAGGAAAGCGCGTGTAATATTAGAGTTATTACTTTACGAGAGAAAGCTCGAGCTTAAGAATAAAAACTACTATACGTATCACGCGTAGAGTAGCTTTCTGTGCGGTTCCTTATAGTTAGTTCGAATAAAGGTTAAAAGTCTGGTTTCTTTTATTTCACAATTAAAATGCTAGAAGCTTAGAGGTTTTGTTTTAATTTTGTTAATTGGTTGACAGAAAATAGCGTCAATATCATTCTTGGTGCGTTGTTACCTTTGTACTTTTTGCAATAACGTAATGTCTATTGAAATGTCGCTGCACCTGATATGTTGTTTCGAGATGAAGAGGATCAGACTGATTGTCAGAATTAATTAATTGGGTTTGCAGTGCACATTTATATCCCGTGCAAAAATACAATTTAAATGGAAATTCCGTGACCCCGATTGAATTTTCAGTATAACGTAACGTTTGTTATCGAAACTATGCTTCACACCAATGCGTAGTTTGTTCGTGGTACCATTTCTATTCGGTACAATGTAGATGTTTTGAGAGAGAAATATGAGTTTAATTGTTTTCCTTTAGATTTTTTTATAAACACGTGTCTGCGCATACGCAGACGAGAAAAACACGGTTGAGAGAAACGGATAATACAGTCCAAAACATTGAATGGCAGTCGGTAAACCCCATCCAGTAGGAAAGGGCTTATTCTCGATTGGACAAATTGCCGCCAATCATAAATAATTGACAGACAATCGCGAGGGATTTAGATTTACCAGCTCGGCACGTCCATAACTTCGATACTGATTTGTACCAACTCTAAACCTTAATTTGGAGTGCGTTCGTCCATATTTGTGTAACCGCACGCGAGCAATACACGAGGGAAACCAATGCCGTTACGCTCTATATTCCATGCACGTCATTCTCATCAGCAATAGATTTAGTTGTAAAACGTTTCACGCGTACAGGCACGCATTAATATATTTTGTAATATTATTAATATGTTCATTTCCAGTGGATTTGAAATGCTTCATCGAAAAAGCGTCAAACATTATGAAATATCTATATAATACTTCTTTGCCAACAATTGATGTATGTTCAAAACTTTTAATAACCTAAATCTAAACACCACAATAGTTATGAAAATAAAAACTCCAGCAGATATAATTGTGTATATATGTATATCTATAGATCAATTTATTGAATAACAGCACTCTTTTTCTCTTCCTGGAGTATAAAATTTAAATACTATCTAATTAACGCTAATTAATTACAATTATTGTAAGAAAAAAAATATAAGATAATGTACCGATTCTGAAAGGATTAGCCTTTTGCTGCTGAGAAAAGACGTAGTTACGAAGACGTAATTATTTAGCTGACGAATTTCTTTGCGAAAGCTACTGAGGTGCAGCTTGCGTGCAGCTCGGGAATTTGTACGGACCGCGCGTGATTCGAGGAACAGACGTCGCTGCCGTACATCGAGATGGCGAATACCAAGGGGTAGATGTATTAGCTTGTAGAGGTAGCATGCCTTCCGCGATCAGATACCAAAGATTACAAACGAAATACCACTGAACTGTTTTTATTTTTGGAATATCGTCGTAAAAACGATGTTTCAGATAAACGTAAATCGTTATAATTTTTTTTGAAACAAATAGATAACAATCTCTACGAGAATCCTACACTATTATATTGATATTAAAGCAACATGATAAATCAATTGAATTAAATAACGTTTCGTTATTTTTAACTTTTAATGTACAACTTTTAATCAAAATATATGTAACTTAAACTATTTTTGCAGTTAGTTTCAAAGTAAGCAACATTCATATTAATGTGTGCATTTAGTAAATAATAAGGTGAATCAAATTTAATACATATATTTTTTAATTAAATTGTTTTAGTTAAATTAACAATATATTGAGTAAAAATAACATAAGTTAACAACATATAAAAATGATTTAAAATAACTCAAATTGGATATAAATTTGATATGAATTTAACAGTGTATGAATATTTCTAAGTTTACACAAACATTTTTTTCTTTATGTATACACACCAGGAATAAATAAAATTGAATGAAAAGTGATATGAAAAAGACTGTAATGTAAGATTAGAACGTCGAGTAGAAAAGAGATGAGACACTAAATACGGAAGAAAGAGGTAAAGCATGAGATGGACATGGAGAGTATGCAAGAGATTCGATGAAGAAGGGAGATATAGATGAACAGTACAATGCGAGGAAAGAGAAGTAAAGCTATTCTAAAATGAGGTCGACATAATTGCACCTGCAATCATACTGGAAGTAGACGAACGCTAGGGCAAGGGATGTCGCGACGGAGTGAGGACAAGCTTCGTATAAGAGAGTTGGCCGACATCCATTGTCTCACGCAGAGAGACTCGGCCCGGCACTGATTAAATACTTGACACATCCTCCGCCGCTCCGAACCAGCATAACTTTGTTCGAATTGTAATTACGAGTAGGATCGGTCTTCGCTTACGAATGAGTTCCCAGGCGATCCCGGGGCCTCCTCCGCAAACTTCGGCTCGTTCCTTTCAAATCGGTCGCGGTCTGCCACCCCCGCGGCAACAAGCTCTCTGACTTTCTATGCAAGCTCCCATCTCGATTCTAAACTTTTTGAAATGTTTCCGAGAATTGCGCATGGTTTCCTGAATAACAGATTGTTCTCTGCTCCCCATGTAAACTCC